TTCACTACAAATACAAACAAGTCATACAAAAATCAGCACAGTAATACAGAATAACAAGTTGGAGATCAAAGTCGAAGCGTTGAAATTAAGTAAAAAGAGGAAAGCATCCAAATTACTAAGATTGAGAATGTGAACAAGTCTAGATATCTAGATCGGACGAAATATTCTGGCTTAAGAGGTCAGAATGAGAGCAGAGAGAAATGAAGAGGAACTGAAATAAAGACTTGGTTTGTATAGATGCCAGTGTGTCACTGGTTTGCATGATATAAATCAGCTGATCGGACAAAGTAAAAACACAACAACAACACTAGATCTAGCCTACAGACGATGTGTTTCAAAGTCGTGTACTGTCAGTAAATCATTTAGAAAATGGTACCAAAGATTTTTTTTTGAAGAGAACGACCTAGCACGAAAAGCTATGATGAAGGAGAACTACCCAATTGCGCTCATACGCTTATCACAACGAAAAGACCCTCATATTAAACCTGGCTAGATCTAAAAATAAAATGTTCCGTTATAAATGAATATTGATAAGTTGACACACTTGTCTCGCTTTCGTGCTGGTGGCGCGAGACATTTGCCAATTTGTTGGTTTTCCAGGAGCACAGCCATTTCAATGTCTTTTACCCTCAGTGCAGTTTTAAAAAAACGCGACAGTCTAGAAATAAAGAGTGGCTGCTGGGTTTGACATTCAACAAGATTCCCAATTGTGTACCTAATAGTAAATATACTCTTGGGCAGCTATTTCATAATTAAAATAAACGACTTTATTCTATTTTGACTAAGTCTATGACTTTAAAATATGTTTGGTGTTTGTTTGTCAGCAACGAGTAATTTTAGCGTTGATTGCTGTTTGTTCAAACAAATTTCATCATTGCCAGTTTGATGTGTTTACCCACGAGCCAGGAGCACCATTATCCCAAAGGAAGTGGCTATTCTCATCCGGGGTGAGAATAGAAAAACGATCTACCTCTCACCCCAGGTGAGACTTGCTAGCGTAGGCTATTCTCACCCGGTGCGAAACAAGGCCTGCTTTTCCTCATTTTAGAATACTGTGGATAATCAAATTGATAAAAGCCAAGAAAAAATTACGCTATAGCACAAAAGTAAGCTAATTTGATCGTCTTCAAAGATGCTATGGCTATTTCACTGTTCGAATCGAGCCGAACTACGCGGGTCGCCATTTTGTTTTGCCCGGAAGTTCTCGCAAGATCTAG